CAGTAGAGAACAGATAGTCTAATGTTACATAAATCATGTTGAGAAGAGAGGGAGGGAGGGAGGGGGAGGGAAGGGGAGAGAAGAAAAGTATTGTGGCTAACATCTGTAATCCCAGCACGCTGGAGCTAGAGATAGGAGGATCAGGAGTTAAAGGCTAGCCAGGGTCTGATATATGAAGAACTGGAGACTGTTTTAGTCAGGGTGACTATTGCTGTGATGAAACACCATGTCCAAAAGCAAGTTGTGGGGGAAAGGGTTTATTTGGCTTACACTTTAGCGTTGCTGTTTATCATTGAAGAAAGTCATCAGGACAGGAACTCAAACAGGGCAGGAACCTGGAGGCAGGAGCTGATGCAGAGGCCATGGAGGGGGCACTGTTTACTGACTTGCTCCTCATAGATTGCCCAGCCTGTTTTCTTATAGAACCCAGGATCACCAGCCCAGGGATAGCATCACCCACAATGGGCTGGGCTCTCCCCCATCAATCACTAATTAAGAAGGAGACCCACAACTGATTTTATAGAGGTATTTTTTTAATTGAGTTTCCCTCCTCTCAAATGACTTTAGTTTGTGTCAAGTTGACATAAACCACCCAGCACATAAACCACCAATGGGGCTACTTAAGACCTTATGTCAAAAGCAAGCAAAGGGGTGGAGAAATGGCCCAGAAATTAATAGGGAGTACTGCTTTTGCAGAGGACCCGAGTTTGACTGCCAGTACCCATGTCAAAGAGAGTCACAGCCACCTGTAATTTCAATTCCAAGGAAATGTATTGTGTATGGTTTTAACTTGCCACAAGTTAGACTCGCCTGAGTAGGGAGCCACACCTGAAGAACTGTCCTGTTGGCCCTGATTGACGTGGGAAGAGCCACCCCCACTGCAGGCGGCACCCTCTGGTGGGAGCCCAGATGAAGAACGGTTTATGGGGGGAAGACTTTTGCTTGCTTGGCTTCCCTCTTGATGCTGGGTGGATTTGCCCTTCGGTTGCTGCTGATAGCAGAGCCAGGGTTTCCACGCTTCCAAGGTGGAACAGACCCACGGCTCTCCAGGAACCTTCCAGACTTCTGGCGCTGGATTGGGCTACTGAGGCAGTCTCCTTGGAGACTGAGTACTGGTTGTCATCCTCCCAGGGAGAGACAACAACTAACTATTAAAGCATTCGTCCTCACGAGCCAAATAGACTACCTGGTCCTCAGTGTTTTGGGTATGATTCGGCTGTAGTTATTATTTTAAAGCTGATTTAAATTCTGATATTTCCTTTCCCCGCTTGGTTCTGTTCCACCAGAGCACTCTTAACAAAAACAGGGCCTGACACCTGTGACCTCTGTGGGCACCTGCACTCCCAGGCACACACATGTACGTGCACATAATAAAAAGCGAAAATAGGGCTGGGGCGATGGCTCAGCAGTTAAGAACACTGGCTGCTTTCCCAGACAGAGGGCCTGGTTTGATTGCTGGCACCTAACTGGCGGATAGCAGCCTCCCGAAGCTTCAGGGTTAGAGGATCCAGCTACTCCTGTGCACAGTCACACACGTGATGCACAGACATGCATGAGGAAGACACGTACGCAGGAACCAAAGATAATTTTTTTCCTTTGGTTTTTCAAAATAGAATTTCTCTGTGTAGCTCCGACTGTCCTGGAAATTCCTCTGTAGACCAGGCTGGCCTTGAACTCACAGAGATCCACCTGGAACTGGGCATACAGGCTGTCGTGAGCTGCCTGGTGTGAGTGCTGGGAACGGAACTCAGGTGCTCTGCACGGCAGGAAGTGCTCTTAACTGCTGAGCCATCTCTCCAGTCCCTCTTTACCTCCCATTGAGATTTTATTTTATCTGTTGAGAGGATTGCCCTGTGTAGCCTTGGTTGACCTGGAACTAGACCTAGCCAGCCTCAAACTTATGGAGATCCACACTTGCTGAGTGCTGGGTATTTTTATTTTTATGTGTTTGGATGTCGTCTCTGTAGCCCTGTGGAGACCAGGAAAGGGTGTTGGATCCCCTAGAGCAGTGTTTCTCAGCCTGTGGTCTCAACCCCTTAGAGGTCAAATGACCCTTTCACAGGAGTTGCCTAAGACCACTGGAAAACAAAGATACTTACATGAAGATTCATAACATGGGCTGGAGAGATGGCTCAGAGGCTAAGAGCACCAGCTGCACTTCCAGAGGTCCTGAGTTCAATTCCCAGCAACCACATGGCAGCTCACAGGCATCTATAGTGAGATCTGATGTCCTCTTCTGACGTTCAGGCATACATGCAGATAGAGCACTCATACATTAAAAAAAAAATCTTTAAAAAAAAGATTCATGTCAGGTGGTGGTGGTGCACACCTTTAATCCCAGCACTTGGGAGGCAGAGGCAGGCAGTGAGTTCAAGGACTGCTTGGTCTACAGAGTGAGTGCCAGGAGAGGCTCCAAAGCTACACAGAGAAACCCTGTCTTGAAAAAGCAAATAAGTAAATAAAATTCATAGCAGTAGCAAAATTACAGTTATGAAAATAACATGAGAAACTGTATTAAAGAGTTGCAGCATGAGGAAGGGTAAGAAACACTGCCCTAGAGCCACCTGTTATGGGTGACTGGAAACTGAATGTAGACCTTTTGCAAGAGCAGCAAGCAGAATTCATCTTAGAGCCATCTCACTAGTCATTTATTTTTCACCATATACTTTATTTTTGAAGGATACAAGCCTAATAGTCTATAACGTTATTTGTAGCGTGCTGATTCTCCCACAAATTCTTCTCAATTCTGGATTACATACCAGGTGGCAGCTGAATCTAGAGGCTTAGGCAGACCACAGTCAGATTTGGCAGTTATTTATTACTGTGTAGTTCTCGCTCTTTCGTGGTGTTAGCAGCTCTTGATCTTCGTGCCTAGATTGGATCAGTTTGCTGTATCTTGTATCTTTTTTAATTTTGATTTCTTTTTCATAGTTATAAATTTTAATGAACCTTTAATATCCCACTTTTCTGTTAGCATTTGTTCATGATTCCTTGTGTGCACATGCCCTCGTGCGTAAGCAATTATGACATATATATATATCTCACCTGTATAGCACGTGGTTTTATTTTTAGACTTATATATCTTATGTGTAGTGAGTTTTGCCCACATGTATGTATGCGCATCATCTGCTTGCTTGGTGCCCCTGGAGGTCAGAACAGGACATCACCTGGAACTGGAGTTAGTAATGGTTGTGAGCCACCATTCGGGTTTTGGAAGATGACTTGCTCCTTTGCAGGAACTCTTAGCTACTCTCAACTACTGTGCCCTTAACTACTGAGCCATCATTCCAGTCTCCATTATAACACACTTTTTAAAAACTATCTCTGCATGAGTGTGTATCTTTGTGGACACCCATGTGTTCTGTGGGTGCCCATCCAGGCTAGGGTGTTGGATCATCTGGAGCCTGAGTGTCAGGCAGTCGTGAGCTACCCAAAGTGGGTGCCAGGATCTGAACTCTGGTCCCCTTTAAAAGCAGCAAGTGCCCTTAGCTACTGAGCCATGTCTCCAGTCCCATAACACTTGAATTTCTGTTGTTTACACATTTAAAATCTGTTTGTCAGAATTATTAGAATTATATGTGTTTCTTTGTGTGTGTGCATATGTGTATGGGTGCATCTGTGTATATGTGAGACTCAGAGGACAGTTGTAAAAGTTGGTTTTCTTATTCCATCATATAAGTTCTGGGGATCGAACTCAAGTCATCAGGCTTGGTGGCAAGTGCCGTTACTGACTCGGCTATCTCACTGTTTCTATGCATTCTAAAATCATCTTTCACAAAGACAAAACCTGAACGATACTAGTCTTTAAAAATATGGCTTCCTGTGGCATTTCATTGTGTATTTCCCTGTGATCATGGCCAACTGACTTTCATTGTTCCTCTTTGCATGTCCATTCCAACACTGATGCTTAAATACGGAGGATTTGAGTTCTTGTAGTAGTTGCTGCTTACTGGAATTCAGCCTGGCTGTGGTGTTTAGCTACTCCACACGGTCATTCAGGGCGTTGGCCTTGATCCCATTTCTTGAGATGGAACATCTATGACAGTGGGTTCTGATTAGATGCTGGACTCTCATGGCTGATGGGGGTGCTGGCTGGTTCACGTTGGGCTGTGGGTTTTAAGCACACCAGTGTGTCAAGCACTGTGTTTTAAGGTTCCAGGGAGATGGAGAGTGCCAGAATGGCACTGAAAGCCCTACCATATGTCAAGACGACAGGTCTTGACTTTCTAAGACTGAAGGAGACACTCTTCTGCTGTCCATTTTCTACATTTTATTTTGTTGATGGGCTTGATGGCAAATGCAGGGACTAAGCCATCTCACCTGCCCATACTGTCTATTTGTTTTTCTTGAGACAGGGTCTCACTATTTAGCTCTGGCTGGCCTTGAACTCACTATAAAGACCAAATTAGCTTTGAACTCAAAGAAATCCACCTGATTCTGTCTTCCAAGTGCTGGGATTAAAGGTGTACACCACCATACCTAGCTCCCATACCATCTATTCTAATGAATCATGACAACATCCATCTAACCTTTAATAATTGCTTTATAATATAATGCAGACAATTATGATTTTAATTTTATATCCTTGTGTGTGGTGTGACTCTCTCACTCTGTGTGTGTGTGTGCGTGCGCGCGCGTGCACGTGCATGACACTGTATGGGTCAGAAGACAAGTTTTAAAAGTCAGTCATTTTCTTTTTCTATTAAGTGCTTTTACCCACTGAGCCATCTCCCCAGCTCAGACAAAGAACTTAAAGCTATCAAAGAGAATTTATAATTGTTTAACTTTTTTCTTTTCTTTTCTTTTTTTTTTTTTTGAGATGGGTCTCCCATGGAGTCAGGCTGACTCTGACTTACTGTTGTACACAGGGGATAAGCTGGAACTCCTAGAACTCCTAATCCTCCTGCCTCTGCTTTTGGAGTGCTGAGATTAAAAGGGAATGCCACCATGTTTTTGTTTTGTTTAGATTTTAAGTAAGTGATTGTTCGTGTTGTTTTCAGAGTGGAAAGGTCAACAGACCAAGTCATCAAGCCTGTCAACGTCGGGGCACTGTCAAAGTGGGTTGGGAAGATACCCCCAGATGTTCTACAAGACATGGCAGTGATTGCACCCATGCTTGCCAAACTTGGATATGATCCGTATGCCAATCCCCCTAACTATGGAAAACCTGACCCCAAGATCCTTGAAAACACCAGAAGGGTAAGTGAGACTCCTAAAGTAACTAAGGAAATGAGACATGGAGTTTGGTTTTGAGTACATTTTTCTTGTCTCTTACTTTTTATGACCAGGCAATTATTTTAGATTACCATTGTTCTAACTTGTTGAATGCCTTACCATCGGAAGTCTGCAGTTTCAGCAAAGCCCTTCTTTTGAAGAGCTGCGGGGACAGTTCAGCTGTGTGCTCAGCTCAGTGTGTAGGATGTTGTCCTCTGGCTTCCATTTGCTTGGTGACATTTATTTCCATTGCTGATTACCCTAAATTTTCACAAACAACAAAATTATTAGTGGCCTTACTTCTAGTTTCTTTTTCCTTTCCTTAAGTGTAAAGAACACTTTACTTTTAAGGCTTTGTTTAGATGAGGTAGGATTTCTTGGCCCTCTGAAGGACAGACATTAGCTACATGAGAAGAAAGATTGGATGTACTAGCCCTGTGTTGAAAGTTACTAGTAAGCCTGGGGAGATGACTTAGTCAGTAAAGCTTGTTGCTCAGATATATGGTCCTGGGTTCAGTGCCCAGAACCCATAGAAAAGCTGGGTATGATGTCCACCTCCATACACATGTGGACATGCACTTTGCTGTGGAGAGATGTTCCTGGCTGCTTTTGGAAAGGACCTGATTTGTTTTGCTGATTAATGTAATTAAATATTTCCAGTTTATTAGCTGTTTGTATGTGGGGGTTTGTCTGTTTGTTTTTATTTTTGTTATTTCAAGACAGGGTTTCTCTGTATAGCCTTGGCTATCCTGGAACTCACTGTGTAGACCAGGCTGGCCTTGAACTAAGAGATCTGCCTGCCTCTGCTGGTATTAAAGGCATGTGCCACCACCACTTGGCTGTTTGTTGTGTTTTGTGAATTGCCTCTTAAGTTTCTGAAAAGTTTTATTGTTTCACATATTGAAGTTTTGAACTGCAGCTTGCTAAATAGCAAGCCAACATAAGTGTAGCATCCCACTTCGAAATCCCTGACTGTCTTTTTGTATTGGGCTAGGAACCAGTAGCTTTCTCCTGTGCACAAGACTGGAAAGGATTTCTGTAAACCAAGATATGTGTGTCAGTAATATTTTGAGGTTCCTAGGACAGTAGTCCCTACAGTTTGACATGTGCAAGTTATCTTGGCTAGATTATTCTTGGCTTTCTTGAGTGGTAGTTAGGAAGAATGCTGTGGTTTCAATCCATGTGACTGGCGAATGTGTTTTAGACACACTGTGGCTTTTGAAAGGCTTTCATAATGCTTCCTGAGGGGCAGGGAGTTGAGAAAGAAAAGATGAATTCCAGTGTTTTGATTCCTTTGAAATAATGTATGCAATACTAGCATGCTTAGCTTTTTGTTTGTAATTTTACATTTACTGTATGTTCTGTGGCACACATAGGGAAACAGAACATCTCTGTGGAGAGAGTTCTCTTCTTCCACTTTTAGTGGGTTCCAGGAGTCACACTCCGCTTGCCAGGTTTGCACTGCAAGCCAGTGAACCATCTTGCTGACTCCGTCCTTGTCTTTTGAATTTAAGTTTAGTTGTCTGTCTTAACAGCTGCATTTCAAGCCAAATCGTGTGTATCTTCAAAACTTTTCCTTTCTGTTTTTTTTCTTTTGCCTCTGATGACTCAGATGTCGATAATATGCAGCAGCCATGAGCTGCATCATGACCATATACTTCCAAAGAGATCTCTGTGAGAGATGGGTGACTCCAGAGAAAAAAGGTGGCTGGAGAAATTGCACCTTCACTTATGATGTGGGGGGGGAGCAGGATAGGAGAAAAGTCACAATTTGACTGGGAATGTAGAAGTTCCTATCTCTAGGCATAAAAATGCTGGTCTTCATAGAGTGTGCAGAGCCAGAAGTAATGATGTCTGAGTCAGCACATCTTAGGACCACATTGCCCAACTCCAAATCAAAGTCATGTGTGTTGTGGTTGCCCTGACTCACACAGTAAACTACAAACGAGATGCTAATGCGATCCATGCCCTCTCCCACCACTCCCCAATCCCCAGATTGTGGCACACTTTCATAAATAATGCTCCCTGGGTCACATTTCAGCCTTCTCTTCTTCCATAACCTTTTAACCCTTTGAGACTTAGCAACTTATTTGAGAATATGACTAAATATAGACTCTCCCTACCTCAGAAATATAGGCATCTGCATATATTGAATTTCAATGGACACAGATTAAAAAGCCTCCTGTTTCATAGTGCTCTTGCCAAGCTCAGCCACCCTTAAGACTTTTTATTACAACCTGTTTGCTGATGATTGTCACTCTCTGGGCTTTTTCTGGGGTGGGGTTGCTGAACTGAAGGTTCATTGTTCCTAACTGTTACTTGGGTGCACAAAAGAACCTCAAATCCATCGTACAGGATCAAACGCATTGTCCAAACATGTTGCTTGCTAGGGAGTTGTTCCCGACTGGGAGACATCCAGATGAGGTGATAGGAATGCGGCTGTGCCCCTGCATGTGCCGTCTACAAGCTAGAGAGCAGATAGGAGTTGGTGCACACAGGTCAAGCCTGATGCTGTTTAAAGACCTGGTTGCTAAATGAGAAGAGTCAGGGTTTTCGTTGTAGCTCAGTGGTAGAACTCTTTGCTAGCATGTGTGAGACCCTGGATCCAATCCCTCGTGCTACTGAAAACTGAACAGTGAGCTGAAAGGAAGTTCCAGGCCAGGTGCGGTGGTGCAGGCATGCAATCCCAGCACTTGGGAGGCAGAGTAGGAAGGAAGTTCATCATGCGTTTAAGCTACAGTAGTCTACCCTGGGGCTCCCGGCCAGCATCAACTACAGGATACGATCCTGTCTCAAGAAAAGGTGTATGTGGGGCTGGAGAGATGATTTGGTGGCTAAGAGCGCTTGCTGCTCTTGTACAAGCACCCACATGGCAGCTCACAAACCGTCTGTAACTTCAGTTCCAGGGGATCTGATACCCTCTTCTAGCCCCCATGGGCACCAGGCACACATGCAGGTGCATGCAGGTAAAACATCTGTTCACATAAAAAAATTTTTTAAAGCTAGGTAACAGTAATAATTGAAGAGGTCACAAATTTGAGAGGGGGTGGGGGAGACATGGAAGGAGTTGGAATGGGGAGAAGATGGGGTAGAAATGTTATAAATGCAGTACTAATGTATGACTTCTCAAAAACAAAACTAAATGTTCCTCATTTGTTAAACAAGAAAGCATAACACCAGTAGCACAGACACTGATATCGATAGTTAGTAAACGGAACCTCCTGAAACTGAGAAGCTTCTGTAAGGCAAAGGACATAGTTAACAAGACAAAATGGCAGCCCCCAGAATGGGAAAAGATCTTCACCAACCCCACATCTGACAGAGGGCTGATCTCCAAAATATACAAAGAACTCAAGAAGCTACTCACCAAAACACCAAACAACCCAATTAAAAAATGGGGCACAGAACTAAATAGAGAATTCTCAATAGAGGAATATAAATGACTGAAAGACACTTAAGAATGTGCTCAACACACTTAGCCATCAGGGAAATGCAACTCAAAACAATTCTGAGATACCATCTTACACCTGTCAGAATGGCTAAAATCAAAAACACCAATGACAGTCCATGCTGGAGAGGATGTGGAGAAAGGGGAACACTCCCCCATTGCTGGTGGGAGCACAAACTTGTGGGCCACTTTGGAAATCAGCATGGCGGTTTCTCGGGAAAATGGGAATCAGTCTACCTCAAGATCCAGCAATTCCATTTGGGCATATAACCAAAGAATGCATATTCATACAACAAGGACATATGTTCAACTATTTTCATAGCAGTGTTGTTTGTAATAGCTAGAACCTGGAAGCAGCCTAGATGCCCCTCAACCGAAGAATGGATGGAGAAAATGTGGTACATTTACACAATGGATTATTACTCAGCAAAAAAACAAAAACAATGAAATCTTGAAATTCACAGGGAAATAGATGGAACTGGAAGAAACCATCCTGAGTGAGGTAACCCAATCACAGAAAGACAAGCATGGTGTGTACTCACTCATATGTGGATACTAGACATAGAGCAAAGGATTACCAGCCTACAAGCCACACCACCAGAGAAACTAGGAAACAAGGAGGACTGTAAGAGAGAAACACAAGGTCCCCCTGAAGAAAGGGGAAAGGGACAAGAACTCCTGAACAAATTGGGAGCATGGGGTGGGGGAGAGGGGAGGGAGGTAGGAAAAAGAGAAGGGGAGAAAGGGAAGGGGGAGGAGAACAAGAGGGAGCAGGAAGACTGAGTCAGGGGAGGAACAGAGGAGAGCAAGAAAAGAGATACCTTAATAGAGGGAGCCAGTATAGGTTTAAAGAGAAGTCTGGAACTAGAGAAATGTTCAGAGATCCACAAAGATGATCCCAACTAAGAATCTAGGCAGTGGTGGAGAGCTGCCTTTGATGGTCTTCCCTATAATGAGATTAGTGACTGCCTTAACTGCCATCCTAGAGCCAGTTGCTGAGAGGGAGGAGGGATGAACAGAGGAGCCAAGACTGTGCAGGAGAAACCCACAGAAACAGCTGACCTGATCTAGTGAGAGCACAGGGACCCCAGGCGTAAAGCTGGGAAACCAGCAGTGGCCCGAACCAGGCCCTCTGAACGTGGGTGCCAGCTAGGAGACCTGGGCAGTCTGTGGGACCTCTAACAGTGGAGCCAGTGTTTATCCCTAGTGCACAAATGGACTTTGGGAGCCCATTCCCTATGGAGGGAGCCCAGATACATAGAAGAGGTCCCAAGTCCTCTCTAAATGATGTGACAAACTTTGATGATCCCCTGTGGAAGGCCTCGCTATCCTTGGGTAGTGGGGGTGGGTGAGTTGGGAGGTCGGTGGGGCACATGGGAGGATGGGAGGGTGAGGAAATGGGGGGATTGATATGTAAAATAAGATGGTTTCTAAAATAAAAAAACGGTATATAGGAAAAAACAAACAAGAAAGCAAAAAGGGAGGAAGGGGTAAAGCAGCCCCAAGTGTGACTGGCGTGTCCTGTGACAACCCTGCT